TCTCCATTTCACTTTCTCTTGCAGTCTTGCGGAGTTGTTGCCTAACTTTCAACACTCAGGGGCTCAACTTTACAAAAGGTAATTTAACAAAGTCACAATGATGGCATTCAACAATTCTATCAAGTTTATAAAGAAGAATTACCAGTAATTCCATACGATTTCTTTTTTAATTTTTAAACTTTTATTGGAGTATAGTTGATTTGCAATGTTGTTTCAGGTGTACAGCAAAGTGAATCAGTTATACATATATCCACTTTTTTTGTCTTGTTTTTTTCAGATTCTTTTCCCATAGAGGCCATCAAAGTATGGAGTAGAGTTCCCTGTGCTATACAGCAGGCTATAACATTTCTTTTTAAGACAAGAAAAGGAGGGAGTACTTGTCAACTCAATTTATAAGGCCAGTATTACTAGGATAAAAAACTAGACAAAGTTAATAGAAAAAAAGAGAAAGTAAACAAAATGACCAATTAAATCCCACATGAAGATTCAAAAATTCATCATAGGGCTTCCCTGGTGGCGCAGTGGTGGCGCAGTCCGCCTGCCGATGCAGGGGACACGGGTCCAGGAAGATCCCACATGCCGCGGAGCCGCTAGGCCCGTGAGTCATGGCCGCTGAGCCTGCACATCCGGAACCTGTGCTCCGCAACAGGAGAGGCCACAACTGTGAGAGGCCCGCGTACCGCAAAAAAAAATAATAATAAAAAATCATCATAAAATATTACTAACAGAAATGAATCACAGACAGAAAGAATTCACATTAAAGATAATATAAATCAGGGAATTCCTTGGCAGTCCAGTGGTTAGGACTCATCACTTTTGCTGCCGGGGCCCGGGTTCAATCCCTGATTGGGGAACTAAGATCCCGCAAGCCACATGGTACAGCCTAAATAAATAAATAAATAATAATCAAGATCACTTATCAAAGAAAAATACATTATTCTTGGTTGGGAACAAATTCTATGTGGAGGATACTGGGTGTCAGTTGACATACTAAAAGTAGCACAAATGTTATTTTCTCTGCAAGATCTTCTGGTTCTGAATGTGAACATATCAACAGGAAAGGGCAGCACAGCTTCCAGACACTTGGGAATGGAGATTCTCTCCCTGTCACACACTATAATTGGAATTCTGCAGTCTATCTCATTCATCCTTATAATTTCTTTCACTTCACTGCATGTTTGTTCAATTCCACACACACTTGATTTTCAAGCACCTGACCATAGCCAAGTCCCACAAGAGAGATTTCATGTCACCATTTTGCCATTCCAGTTTTTTCACTGAACTAAAGCCCTAAAGTAACAGTTTTTCTTCATATTTATAATGCACCTACTTTGTACCTGTCATTGCCTTATGGGCATTATCATGTCACAGAAGTCCCAAAACAACCCACTGATTTACATATCCCATGCTATAAAACAGGAGAAATATATGTGACAGAAAAAATTATCACTAAGGAAACAATTCAAAACATTTTTTATTACAGTAGAAAACAATGTAACACATTGTGTACCAGCATAATTTGAAACTCAAATTTTAATAGCATTTAGAAAATTGCTCTGAGTAAACTGCTTAGTTATATTATCTAATAAACATTTCCAAACATTAATTTTATTAAACTAAGGTAAAAATATCTCTGACAAGTTATCCAAATAGGATTTTACAAGCATTTTCAAGAACCATATTGAACAATGGAATGTATGTGTGCTGCAGAAAAAGAAATGTAAGAAATTATTAGCATGAAGAAAAGTATGGTTTGCCAAGTCAAGAACTCAGGAATTTCAAGAGTAAGCATTCAGTGTTTGTTTTCTTTTCTTTTTGGGTGAAGTAGAGAAGAACAGCTTTATTGCTCTGCCAGGCAAAGGGGCCACAGCAGGCTAATGCCCTCAAAACTGTGTTTCCCAACCTGGAGTGGGTAGTGAGTTTTATAGTAATGGTTCAGAGAGGGCGTGATAAGCTCGTGGGCATTCTTTTGGTTGGCTGGTGATGAGGTAAGTGGGAGTCAACATCCTCAACCTTCTCCTTCCCACCAGTCTGGGGTGTCCATGCTTGTGGGTAGCACAGGGTTAATTTCTCCCACCTGGTGGGGGTTTCAGTATCTGGTCTCTGGACTCACTGAGCCTCAGGTTCTTTGTGTCTCAGCGCAGAAGGAATTCAGCAAGAGGTAAAGTGACAGGCAAGAAGTAGACTTATTAATATAGGACACCTGTGAGGGATACAAGTGGGTAGGCGAGGGGGCTCTGCCTCAGTGTTTTATTAAAGAGTCTGACTCCATTTTTTTCTTTTCTTTTCTTTTGGCTGCACCATGCGGCTTGTGGGATCTTAGTTCTCCGACCACGGACTGAACCCAGGCCCACGGCAGTGAGAGCTCGGAGTTCTAACCAGCGGACTGCCAGGGAATTCCCCTGACTCCATTTTTTGATGTTTGACTGTTGACACCTCAGGAAAACCTCTTCTTATTCAGCCTATCTGGACAAACTGATAAAAAAGCCTAAGGGCTCCTTCCTTTGAGAGAAACTGGACATTGAAACCGTAAGCTTATCCTCCAACAAGCCTCACCCAGTAATTAAATTTTCCTCTAATGTTAACTGCTCTCCCTTCAATTCCCAAGAATGAGTCTAATTTCTCATTAAATATAGATGCAAACATCACCAATTCACATGCAGTGGAGGAAGTGACCAACCTTTCTGACACATTGTTCCTACCACATAATCAGCCCCTAGAAACCTGTCACTCTCCTCTCTTGGCAAGTCCAGTCCCTTAATGTCCTTACTGCTCTGCTCTGTTCATGGTCATCTGGTAGAGCATTCTGTCCTATAACGCACAGTGGCCTATCCATGGACCCTGAACATAACAAGCATGATGAGTCAAGGCAGTTTTATATTATTCTCTGCTCCTCCCTGTTGCTAATTCACAACAATTGAATTTGGTAATTCAGGGTCGTTTTTCCAGGGAACACGGATGTGAATGAACCACACCTAGTGAAGTTGGCCCCCTTGTGTTACTGATTCCTTCCCAGAGACAATCATCAAAGGCCTGTAATGAAGGCACAAGATCAACAGATTCAAACTTCAGGTTGAAAGGCATAAATAGTAATGTGGCTTTTTCAATAAAATTCAATTAATAGAATATTTACAGTGAAGATAATTGGCCATTCGCACGTTATTCTTCCTGTCACATACATACCATTTCATAATTTTTCTGTGACTTGTAATGATTCTAAGGTACATAACAATCTCACCTTAATCCTGGAGAAACACTTATTCCTAGTATAGACTCTCTGATATGCAGGCCGATTTAAGAATGGCGCAAAAAATTTACCTAACTCGTTACATTTGTAAGGATTATCCCTCATATGAGATCTGTGGTGAAACCCCAGGACGCATCGTTTCATCAAATTCTTTCCATGTTCAGTAAATCGCTATAGTTTCCGACCTGTATGAATTTTATCATTACACTGAAGGTGTAGATACCTGATGAAAACTTTTACAACATTCATTACATTTGAAACGTTGCTCTCCAAACTAAATCCTCTATGTTTCAGAAACTCCATCTTTAGGTACAAGCCTTAACACACATATTAGTGCGTGTGGTTCCTCTCAAAGATACGTGCTGAGAAGTCTGGTGAATTGTGCAGCCAGGATAAAGCCTCCGCTCATACATTTGTAGTGTTTCTCTTCAGTGGACTCTGCACTGTTGCCAAATACTTGAACTCAAGGTAAAGGTTTTGCCACACTAGTTGCATTAGTAAGGGATAGTTCCAGTACCTTCCCATCTTGTGATTTTTGCGTAAAATCCTTACCACACACATAATTATCTGAGTGGTTTCTCTCCAGGATGAATATTCCAATATCTAGTGACAAGTGAGCACTAACTTGCAACTTTGCCACATTCGGTACATCTGTAATGTTCCGTCCACTATGGATTATCTGATGATTGGCGGGATGTGAGCCCTGAGTAAAGGTTTTGCCCATTCATGGCATTTGTGAGGTAATCTCCAGAATGAATTCTTTGGTGAATGACTTCCTTGTCTAAGGACTGGTCATACTGAACACACCTACCCGATGAAGGCTAAGATGTGAACAGTGAAGCCTAAGACGTGGACAGCTGCTACAACCCCTGCTTAAAGTTCGTCATCAGTGTGGCTTACCTGACAGTTAGATAAGCTTCTAAGTACACTGACGGATTTTTCACTCTCATCACATTTGTCGGGCAGCTTTCCAATAGGAAACTTCGGTGCACCTTAAGGTATGAATTTTGACTGAAGACTTTGAGAAATTCAATACATTTCTAGAGTTTCTGTCCAGTATAGATTATGTGATGGTGAGGCTTTGCCACACTCATGACATGTGCATAGCTTCTCTCCACTATGAATCTCCCGTGAATTTAAAGTGTCAATTTTGTTTTGTTTTGTTTTTTAAGGATTTTTAAAATATTTATTTATTTATGGCTGCATTGGGTCTTCACTGCCACACGCAGGCTTTTCTCTAGTTGCAGCGAGCGCGGGCTACTGTTCGTTGTGGTGAGCAGGCTTCTCACTGCGGTGGCTTCTCTTGTTGCACAGCATGGGCTCTAGGTACACAGGCTTTAGTAGTTGTGGCATGCGGGCTCAGTAGTTGTGGCTCACGGGCTCTAGAGCACAGGCTCAGTAGTCGTGGCGCACGGGCTTAGTTGCTCTGCAGCATGTAGGATCTTCCCAGACCAGGGATCGAACCTGTGTCTCCTGCATTGGCAGGCGGATTCTTAACCACTGTGCCACCAGGGAAGCCCAAAGTGTCAATTTTGAGTGAAGACCTTCCCACATATATCACGTTAATATGATTCCCCCTTTGTATTTATTACCTGATATGTAGTGAGAGTTGAGATCTAAGTAAAGGTTTTTCAACAGTTTTTATCTTTGTAAGGTTTCGCTTTTGTATGAACACTCTGATGCTTTGCAAGGTATGCTTTTCGACTAAAGCACCTGCCACACTCGTTACATTTGTAAGGTTTCTCTCCAGTGTGAATTCTCTGATGAATTACGAGATTTGAATTCCGATTGAAGACCTTGCCACACTCACTACATTTGTAAGGTTTCTCTCCAGTATGAACTCTCCGGTGAATTGCAAGGTATGAATTATAACTAAAGACTCTGCCACATATATCACATTTACATAATTTCTGCCCTGTATGGATTATCTGATGTCTCCTGAGGTTTGAGCTGTGATTAAAGATTTTGCCACAGTCTTTACATTGGTAAGGTTTCTCCCCAGTATGAATTCTCCGATGAACTGCAAGGTATGAATTTTGACCGAAGACTTTGCCACATACATCACATTTATATGGCTTATCTCCTGAATGGATGATTTGATGTTGTATGAGGTGTGAGCCAAAATAAAAGGTTCTGCCACACTCATTACATTTGTAGTGTTTCTCTCCAGTATGAATTATCTGATGACTGACAAGGGTTGATCTAATACTAAATACCTTACCACACTCATCACATTTGTAAGGTTTCTCTCCAGTATGAATTCTCTGATGACTTGCAAGGTTTCCTTTTTGACTAAAAGCCTTGCCGCACTCATTACATTTGTAAGGTTTCTCTCCAGTATGAATTCTGCGATGTTTTGCAAGGTATGAATTCTGACTAAAGACCTTGCCACATTCATTACATTTGTATGGTTTCTCTCCAGTATGAATTCTCTGATGAACTGCAAGGTATGAACTTTGACTAAACACTTTTTCACATACATCACATTTATATAAGTTCTCTTTTGTATGGATTATCTGATGTCCAGTGAGGTGCAAGCCATGATTAAGGGTTTTGCCACACTCGTTATATTTGTATGATTTCTCTTCAGTATGAATTGTTCGATGAATTGCAAGGTCTGAATTTCGACTAAAGACTTTGCAACATACATCACAATTAAGCATTTTCTCTTTTGTATGGATCAACTGATGCTGAGTGAGATTTAAGCCCTGATGAAAGGTTTTGCCACACTGATTACATTTGTAAGGGCTTTCCATGCATGCACTCTGGTCTTGTGTCAGTATTGATGGATGTATAAAATCATTCTCATATGAATTAGAAATGGTGGTTTGGACAGTAGGAGAAGTTCCTTGAAGTGGTGAAAATGAGGCACTAATGCTGATACTCTTGTCAGCTTGATTAAATTCATCAATTTTCTCTTCACTTTTGAAAATATGCAGTTCATCCTGAAAGCTTAATGCCAGCCTGTTTTCAATAGGCTTGATTCCTGCAACACTTCTACCATGTCGATCTCTCTTATCAGCCAGCTTTTTGTTATGGTTTATAGGCATTCCTTTATAATTTCTTTCCTCATCTCTTGGCTGAGACTCAAAGTCATGTACATTTTCCTGGATTTCCCTGAGGTAAAAATGCTTGATTTTTTCATGTCTTCCCAATATCAGTGTTTGGAATACTTCTGCTCTATCAGTGTTTGCATTTAGTTGTAATTTCTTGATCACATGTACGTGAGAGATATCTACAAGATATAAAGGACCATAAGTATCCTATTCATCCCAATTCATAAGTAAATAGTTCATGTTAAACACATATTACACCAAAATTAGTACTTACACAAAACAGAGTTATGAAAATTCCCAACCATGATATTAAAACCTTTACAAACACAAAAGGAATGATTCTTTACTAAAGATAAAGTGATCGAGATAATTCCACTTAAATTTTGGGCACCCAATTTTCAAATAACCTATGATAAAAACACTCAGATTGAGAAAACTTCTGTTAGCTATCAAAGAAAGTGTATTTTTCAACCATGACACCAAAGCATATACCAATTAGCAGTAAACATACTGGTGCCTCGTAACTGAGGAGAAAAGAATATTATACTATACATATATTGTGCATACTTGTTAAATAGAAATGAATGCTAAAAAAACAGACAGTAAATAATTGTAACAGTAAATAATGCAAAACTAACTTATTCAATGAATGATCTCAAGGAGTGGCGGTTTCCAATTGGGAAACAAATATAGCATACAGAAAATGGTGAATATGATAAAACAGTATTTTAAAAAACAAAATGTTCTTCTAAAAACGTGCTGTAAATCTATGTACCCAGGAAGAAGCATAAAACATTCTGAAAGACCACCTTCTGTATATCACAATTAAATATCAATAAATGAAATATTCTCCAGTATATTAACAGCCATTAAATAGAACAACTCCCTATCTGTTCAGTGCCCTAAAATATCCAGTTCATTGGCTCCAAGATATATGTAATGAAGAGAGAGCAATTTTTGAATTTATTTAACTAGGTTCATCAACAAATTGCAAAAGAAAGGCATACAATATATAAGGCAAAAAAAGGGACATCATAATAAACATGCCAGAATATTAATATATCTTTTTTATACAAAAGCCACTTTTGATTCATTAATATAAAAACAATGCACTATTTCTGGGAATTCCCTGGCAGTACAGTGGTTAGAATTCAGCACTTTCACTGCCATGGGCCCGGTTCCATTCCTGGTTGAGAAAGTAAGGTCCCGCAAGCAGCGTGGTATGGCCAAAAGCACAAACAAACAAAAAATCCCCACTATTTCAAGCCATCTAACATTACTAGTTTCTTTCGAAAGGCTTGAGGAAAGTTATCAGAAGTTTTTAAGTAAGGAAAGTGGAATCAGGTTTCTGTGCATGACCCCAAATGATGCAGAAAGCAGTGAGAACCATGATGTGGACCTTGACCAACAGACTGAGACAACATACTCTTAAGCATGACCACCCGCCCAAAAGCAGCAGAGGACAGATTACAAAATACGACAACAAACATCAGGAGTTGAGAAAGAAAACTTCAAGGGAGATGCAAGAAGTGAGCTGGATAACTACGAAGGGTATTCAGCCACCCCTCCTGGAAATGGTTTCTGAGTCATCACAACTACACAGAAAATGATTTAGGTTGTGTCATGAGACAGTTGTTCGATATATAAAGAGGCATTATTTTTACAGTGTGAGCGATGTGGAAGGTGGAGGGATGGGTGAAGGAGTGCTGTAGAAATTGGGAAGTTCAGGAGAATAACTTAAATGTGCTAGGAAATAACAATCTTTCCATCCACATCAAGGTACCATGTAAGGAAAGGCCAGGACTGAGAAAGGGCCTGAGTGGAGCACAGAGTTTTTTAACTATGGGAGTTATACTATGAGTATGGGAAGAACTGAAAGAGATTTAAACACTGTAGAAGTAAACTAACTTTAAATCTATTACACTATTTGCTATGCAAGGTATCAAATTCCAACAGCTGTATTTCTATGCACATATTCAATAAAAACATACACAATATTCAAGGAGATGGTGCAATAATGTTCTTAGCAGAAAGCAGAAGAAAAAACCAGGAGAAGACCAGCAGAAGGAGACGGATCAGTCTATTCTGTACACACACGTGCAGAACAAAGTAATCAGATCAACACTACTGTAAAGTAGGGAGATCCTGATTTCAGAATGAAGATCTCCTGGCTGGGTGAGCAGGGTTTGTATGGGGAAACAAAGATAGCAGAAAGCGTTTGAGAAAGCCTGAGCAATTTCAGGATAGGATCACAATTAAGTTAAGTAAGCAAAGAAAGAGAAAAGTGTTACTAACTAAAATATAGATTACATAACATAATTTGGTATATAAAATGTTTATGTTAACACTCCTTGTTATTAAACATGACAGTGTTCTTTTAGCTGGCCTCTCTAAATACTGAAAATCATATCATTAAATTTCTTAACACAAACTCTGCAAAGAAAAACAAAACCATGAGGAGTGATGTCAACAGAACAGTAAACCACAGGCACTCATTACAGCCATGAGGAAGCCAAGTTAAAAACAATAGACAAAAAAGAATTTGGGAAAACTCTACAAACCAGTAAAAAAACAGTGGGAGCACCCAGGCAATTGCCTATCCTGAAAACACTAAACCAAAAAATGTAGGAAAGTTCATGACAATTCCCTGGCCTGTGACTCCCCACCTCCTTCTTACATTGCATTGAGATTGAACTGGAAGGAGCCTCCCAATTACCAGAGGTGTCCTCATGGGGAAATGCTAAAAACATGATAAAAACACTCAGTAAACCAGAAATAGAAAAAAATGACCTCAACATAGTAAAGGACATGTATTAAAAGTCCACAGCTAACATCATACTCAAGGGGGAATGACTTAAAGCTTTTCCTCTAAGATCAAGAAAAAGACAAGGATACTTGCACTCAGTATTTCTAAAAAAAAATTACTGGAATTCCTAGCAAGTACACGTAGGTAGCAGGAAAAGACATAAAAACAATTCCAATAGCAAAAAGAAGCAAAACTATCTCTTTTGACAAATGAAATGATCTAATTAAAAAACCCTGGGGAATTCCCTGGTGGTCCGGTGGTTAGGACTCCATGCTTCCTCTGCTGGGGGCCTGGGTTTGATCCCTTGTGTGGGAACTAATATCTCACAAGCCATGCAGCATGGCAAAAAAATAAAAAAAATAAAAAAAACCCGTGAAGATACTTAAACAAAAATTTGATAGAAATAATGAACTCAGAAAGATGACAATATATAAAATTGACAAACAAAAATCAATACTGTTTCTATACAGTGACAATAAAAAATCAAGAAGGAAATTCAGAAAACAATTCCATTTTACAATACCATCAGAAAAATAAAGTACTTGGCAAAACTTTACAGAAGGGAAAGATATATGCACTATAAACTAAAAACACAGCTGAAAAATATTTGAAAAGACACAAATTAATGCAAAGATATCCCAAGTTCATGGATTAGAAATAAATATTGTCAGTATGTAAATACTACCCTAAGTGATCAACAGATTCAACACAATCTCTAATAAAATCCCAATAGTGTGTCTCGAAGAAACAGATAAATCCATCCTAAGATTCAAATGCAATCTCAAAAGACACTCAATAGCAAAACCAAGGTTGAAAAGAATGAAGTTGGAGGTTTCACCATCATTTCAAAATTCTTAGAAACCTAAACTAACCAAAGCAGTATGGTCCTAGCATAAAGACAGAGAGAGACCAGTGGCATACGACAGAGACATGAGAGATAAACTCTTGTGTATGTGGTCAAGTGATGTTCCGCAGGAGTATCAGGACCACTCAGTGGGGGAAGGGCAGTCTACTAAACAAAACGAATTATGGTTCAGATGGAAGGTATCACTGCACTTCATAAATTCTCTAATTTAGATGTTTCAAAATTAGCTGTTGATGTAGAAAGAACAATAGCACATAGGTGACCCCAAAATGGTGTCAACAACAGTTTACACAACAGCCTCACAAATATGAGGATGTGAACTTGGGCAATGTTACCCTGAGGAGAAATTCCTATTCACCGTTTACTGAGGGTGAAAGGGGATGGGCATAGTACATGTGAACACCACTATCACAGTGCCCTTGAGACTGGCTTTTGTGACACTGCTCAAAACCAGAAAAAAACCTGGAAAGATTTATCAGCCAGGCTCTGGTGATACTTTCTATCTCATATCATAGAATATGCAGACCACTCCACTATAGCTTTAAGTGGTGATTTTCTATATAGCAGGAAAATATTACAATATATGAGGGATAGTATTCTCATTCAAAATTATCTGTCACCCAGTAAAACCACCCTATAGAGAGTCCACCAGAAGTTGTTGATTAACAAAGGGTGGATTATCACACCAAAGGTTCTGGATAAAATTTCAGAGCCTAGTTCTCTGTACTTCATAAACAAGTTTCAGAGGCAAAATCACACAAACTTAGGAGAGTATGAAATCAGGAAGAGAATACATTCCCAGACTAGGTAGAGCAGTACAGGAGTGAAAAAAATATGAGCTATGTGTGTCAGATATCACAGAACCTTCAGATGGAACAATGTGCTCTAGCCACAGATACCAAACTAAGAGCCTGAAAGATACATATATGCTCCTCAGTAGGACTGGGGATCAAAGAGATGATCTCCCTGTCCACTGTCCTTAGTTTTCCTAAGTAATAATTACAGAAGATAGAATGCACCTCCCTGTTACACACAAGCCTGGAGAATGTGGCCAAAGCAGAACAGAAGAAATGCAGGAGGGATCTAAACAGGGAGACAGGGCTTGAGACAGCTACATGCAGGTTCTGAGATGCCACATGGAATCAAAGAGCAGCCAGTGTCTCCCATCTTCTGATGAGGTCTCCTAAAAACATCAAATGGGGATGGAACTGGGAAAGGTTCAGGGATTGGAGTCTGCAGGCATCAGCTCTTATCTATGTAGACTGAGAACTGAGCATCCAATGGAATGAAGTCGAGAAGGAGAGATGAGGGGGCAAGAGGCCCCTCTGAAAAAGTCCACCTCATGCTCTGCTAATTCAAGCAACAAGAGCTCACAGAAACCAGATGGCAGAGTGTTGCAGACCATGATAAAGACCTTGCCTTTGTCTCTGGTGGAGCTGCAGCACCACTGGAGGGTGAAAGAATACATTTTACATGTGGAAGCACAAGAGGGATAAGTTATGGAGAAGAAAAATTTCCTCTGAGAGCTCAAATAATAAGTAAATTTTTGTATTCCCATAGAACTCTCTGATGAGGGGAAAGACTCCAAACACTATTAATAATGAGGCTTCCCATCGGCGCTTCTGAGATCTGACCTGTGTTCACACTTTGATACATCCCCAAAGGTATTCAGATCAGTCTTCACAGCCCAGGGCTCTTTCTCTTGTTACAAAGTGGGTAAAATATTCAGATAAGAAACAGAAATTCCTCCACATAAGAGGAAGGAAACATGATTTGCTGTGGCTTTTCCAGAATCCTGGTCTCTTGCTCAGCTGAGAACTGAGGTGACTACAGATGGAAACAGAAAAGTATTTCAAAAAACTGACCTGCTCTTTACCTCCTGAATACACAGGGAACAGTATAATGTGCAGAAACGTAGCTTTTTTCCTAAAACTCCTAAATCAAAAGCACAGGGGTAGGAAACAGGAAAATGGGTATATTAAAAGTTTCCCATTGAGCTTTATATACATGTAAGCTCTGGAACAACTCCTGATGTATCATGAACTGGGCAGGCCATCAGAGGAAAAGGTAGATTTAAACTCCTGAGGCTGCATCCTGAAGCTTTCCATGTCTGAATCAACAAGGATTTCAGATCAGTCAAGCAAAACAGGGGCTCCCAGGAGGCACACAATGGAAAATGCAAAGATACATAAGGGCAGATCCCAATTTCTGGAGGGAAGTTATCCTCACCCAGGGAGACCAGGTTCCTGTAGGTCTCCAACATCACGTCCCTGTACAAGGCCCTCTGAGCAGGGTCCAGGCATTCCCATTCCTCCTGAGAGAATTCTATGGCCACATCCTTGAAGGTCAACTGTGCCTGAAATGAAAACACATTTCACCAAGGGGCCATGAGGAGAAATCTTATTTTCACACAAAATGAGAAGAGGTGAAAAGATCAAGTTGAAGTATGTATTCTGACAGATCCATATAAAGATATCTGAGGAAATTATGGGTCTCTAATTTTAATTTCTTATGCTTTTTCATAGAGATTATGATAACCTGTAATCAATGTGTATTTTTCATTTTTGTGGACAATACATGAAATACATATAAATAAAATTCAACAATGAGTTCTCTATCCAGAAGTGTTAGATTATGTCTTACACACTGAGTGCTATTCAAAATCTAGATGAACTACACTATGAGTGGTGGCTTTAGAGATGACTAAGTCCACAGTGCTTTAAAAAAGAAAATCAAAATCTTAAATTACAATGACGATAATAACAGCAATGACTAAAGGTGCTTGAATACTTCACAGATGCTAAGCATTACTCTAAATGCTTTATAGATATGAACTTTTTATCAACATTGTAGCTCAGTAGAGAAAGATCTGTTCCCATCGTGCAGAGGAGAAAACTGTCAGAGACATTTGGAGAAACTCAACTTAGTTCAAGCTAAGAAATGATACAGCAAGCACCTGAATTAAGGTGGATGCAGTCTTGAACTGAAGATAAAGAAGCAAAAACTGAAGTAACAGAAGAGCTTTGGAAGCACATGGCCAGAGGATTCTCCCAGAAAACTTGAAAGAAGTTGAACAACATGAAAGGCATTAAAAGGTCATTATAGATGTAGGCACGTGTGCGCGCGCATGCACGCGCGCACACACACACACACACACACACACGTTAGTAATCTTACTAGTATCTGAACCATTAACAGGATAGTGTAGGAAAAATTCAAGGCCATGTAATATATTTATGATATAATTTCAACTGCAATAAAATACAGTACATAGTTATAAAATTCTGATGCCTTTTATCAAAACCATGGACTTACACATCCATGAACTCATGGACACACAGGTAAATGCACAAATAACTGAAACGAGAGAAGTTGTCTCTGGATATATTACTGCATGATTTTTTTTATCATCATTTTTATTTATGTGAATTTCAGCATCTTTGGAACAATGAAAAAGTATCAACTGTATTAAATGGTACTACCATGAAAAAAATAGGATCCTTTAACTGCAATCTCTATTGAATACCCATATATAAATACAATTTAAACCACAATATTGACATAGGTAGGTATTAACAAATGCAAAGCAGAGTTTATTTCTGTATTCCACACATAAAACACTGACTCAAAATCAGAAAAGTTATTACTATTATACATTAATTTAAGAGACTAAGAAAAAATTATCACAATAGTAAAGTTAAAAACTACTCGGAGAGGGCTTCCCTGCTGGCGCAGTGGTTGGGAGTCTGCCTGCCGATGCGGGGGACACGGGTTCATGCCCCGGCCCGGGAGAATCCCGCATGCTGCGGACCGGCTGGGCCCATGGGCCATGGCCGCTGGGCCTGCGCGTCCAGAGCCTGTGCTCCGCGATGGGAGAGGCCACAACAGTGAGAGGCCCACATACCAAAAAAAAAAAAAAAAAAAAAACTACTCGGAGAATTAAATATCATGACTAAAAAGAATATGGAAAAAAGTATATTGTGGGCTTCCCTGGTGGCGCAGTGGTTGAGAATCCGCCTGCCAATGCAGGGGACACAGGTTCGTGCCCCAGTCCGGGAAGATCCCACGTGCCGCGGAGCGGCTGGGCCCGTGAGTCATGGCCGCTGAGCCTGTGTGTCCAGAGCCTGTGCTCCGCAGCGGGAGAGGCCACAACAGTGAGAGGCCCACATACTGCAAAAAAAAAAAAAAAAAGTATATTGTAATTAAGGAAGAATATTTCACCAAACAGCATGATTAGAAGGAAACTTGACGCATTCCCTCTGAAGTTACAGTGGAGTGAAGGGGGCTGGCCAGGGCACCTGCCTTTCACCAATGTACAGTGTGCCTGAGCAAGAGCCATTAGAGGCAGTAAGAGGAGGAAAACAGAGGGCAAGAGACAGAAAGAGAGTGTGTCAGAGAGTTGGAACTGTGAACATTCACAAATCTAAGGACATAGAAATCTAAGAACAGAGGAAGGATGTGAAAAGATAGTCCATCCTAAAGAGAACAGGGGTGACTATATTACATCAGAAAAAATAAAGACAAAAACTGACACAAGAGACAAAGGATATTATATAATAAAACAGTCCATTCACCAGGAGGATATAACAATTATAAATATATATACATCTAACATTAGAGCTTGCCCAAATATGAAGGAAACAACAGAAATAGACAACAGCAAAATGTCGGTATGAGACTTCAATACTCTAGTTTTATCTACACATGGGAACAACTTAAAAGGAAACAGAGAACTTGAACTACACTAAATAACAATTGTACCTAAAAGACATGTACAGAACACTCCACCCAACACCAAAAAACATCCTTCTCAAGCAAACATGAAACATTCTCCATAACAGACCACAAAACACATCTTAGGCCACAAAACAAATCTTAACAAATTTAAGGAGACTGAGATCTAAAAAGTATCTTCTCTAACCACAATGAAATGAAACTTGAAATAACAAACAGAGGGAAAACAGGAAAACCCCCAAAATGTACAAATTAAACAGCTGATTCTTAAAGAAGCAATGGGCCGGGCTTCCCTTGTGGCTCAGTGGTTAAGAATCCGCCTGCCAATACAGGGGACACAGGTTCGAGCCCTGGTCCGCGAAGATCCCACATGCTGTGGAGCAAATAAGCCTGTGCACCACAACTACAGAGCCCCAGCGCCACAACTACTGAAGCCCGCGTGCCTAGAGCCCATGCTCCACAACAAGAGAAGTCACCGCGATGAGAAGCCCGCGCACCGCAACAAAGAGTAGCCCCTGCTCACCACAACTAGAGAAAGCCCACACGCAGCAATGAAGACCCAACACAGCCAAAAGTAAAATAAATAAATTCATTTTTTAAAAAAAGAAGCAATGGGTTAAAGAAGAAATCACAAGGAAATTGTAAAAATATCTGAATGAAAATAAAAACACAACATACCAAAATTTATAACAGGCAGTCAAAACCATAGTAAAAGGGAAGTCTACAATGCTAAATGCTTACAACAAAAAAGGGGAAAGATGCAAACCCTGTACTGCTGTTCATGAATGTATGGAGAGCCATTAAACAAGAAAAAGAAATCAAAGTTATACAAATTGAAAAAGAAGTAAAATTACCTTTTTCTCTAGGTGACAAGGTTTTACATGTGCAAACCAAAAAGGCTCCATGAGAAAACTACCACTTCAAAACACAACTTCAAGGACTTCCCGGTTGGTCCAGTGGTAAAGAATCCACCTTCCAAGGCAAGGGACTTGGGTTCAATCCCTGGTCAGGGAACTAAGATCCCATATACCACAGAGCAACTAAGTCCACATGCCTCAACGAGAGAGCCCACGTGCCGCAAACTACAGAGCCCACGCACTCTGGAACCCGTGTGCCACAACTAGAGAGAGAGAAAAAAAAACCCCGCACGCCACAACTAGAGAGAGAAGCCCATGCGCCTCAACGAAAGACACTGCACGCCACAACAAAAGATGCCGCACGCCTCAATGAAGATCCCGAGTGCCACAACACCTGATGCAGCCAAAAAAAAAAAAAGAAAAAACAACTTTGGAAAAATTGCAGCAGGGAATTCCCCAGCAGTCCAGTGGTTAAGACTCTGTGCTTTCACTGCCATGGCCCTGGGTTCAAAACCTGGTGGGAGAACTAAGATCCCACAAACCGCAAGGCATGGCCAGAAAGGAAAAAAATATCAGCACACAAAAATCAGTTGCCTTGGTATACACAATATACACAATGAACAAATTCAAAAGAAAGTTAGAAAACAATACTGTTTACTATAGCATCAAGAGACAGACTAGGAAAAAATTACCCAAGGAGGTGAAAGACTTGCACACTGAAAACTACTAAATGTTGCTAAAAGAAATCCAAGGATATACAAATAAATAAAAAGACACCCTGTACTCATGAATTGGAAGAATTAATATTCTTAAAATGACTTTATTACTGAAAGTGTTCTACAGATTCAATGGAATCCCTGTCAAAATTTCAAAGGCAATTTTTGCAGTTAAAAAAAAAAATCATACTAAAATTCATAGGGAATCTCAAAGGACCCCCAACAGCCAAAATACTCTTGAAAAAGAAGATGGACATCATTTTCAGATTTCAAAACATATTACAAAGTAATCAGGATGATGTGGTACTGGTATAAGCACAGATACAAAACCCAGTGGATACCAGAAATAATCCAGTGAATATATATAAAATGTACAGCCAAGGGTGCAAAGACTACACAAAGGGGAAAGGACAGTCTCAATAACAAATGATGCTGAGCAACTACATACATACCAGCAAAAGAATGAAGATGGAACCTTACTTGCATCAAAGGTAAAAACTTCCATATCACAGGATACAATCCACAGAGTGAAAAGACAACCTCTGAGGAATGCAGGTGATGAAAGTGATTTAAAGAATTTCCCACTGTCAGAGATTTAGGTTGATTTCATAGTTCAAACTCAAGAATGGACTAAAACATTCCCTGGTGATCCAATGGTTAGCGCTTGGTGCATTCACTGCAGTAAGCCCGGGTTCAATCCCTGGTCGGGGAACTAAGTTCCCACAAGCCTTGATGGGGCATGGCCAAAAAAAAAAAAAAGTTAAAAAGACAGAACAAATTACCTCTTACTGGTCTGTTTTCCAGATTTTACCAGATACTGTGCACATTAACGTCCAGCTTCTTTATCCTGCTTGACAGAGAGCAGACAGTGCATCCTGATGGGGCCCTAAGCAATCCCTGCTGTCCAGTAGCACTGACACCATGTCTCCAATCCATGGGTGTGAAGCCCTGCCCAGGACTACACCCAGCGGAGCCTCTTCACAAGTTCCAGGTCACTGGGTTATGGGGAAATGGGATCTAAGTGGAGATGACAGGCCCTGAGGGAAGGACCCGAGTCAGTGTGAATGTACAGGTGTCAGGCAGGATACTTCAGAGTCAGAGATTAGCGAGTCCAAAGAAGGGCATTTCAGGAAGGACAGACAGAGGAAACAACTGAGAATATGACTTTACCTGAGAAAGAGCCATTCCAGACTCCTTTTCTTTCCTCTCCCTCCTCTTCTGGGCTTCTTTCTCAGACAAGAGTCTTTAGAGGTCGATTCTGAAAGTGGAAAACAAGCTGTTTAATGCTTAGAATCAACACACCCCCTTCCTGAGTCACCACCACACGCACAGGGAAGCCCTCAGCATGGGGAACAGGCGGTCCTCTGTTGCCCACTGTCCCAGGAGGGACTCAGGACAGTAACTCCCACACACAGACCAACAGGTGAGTTTTCCCACCCTTTCCTTCAGTTCAGGCTCCCCTCCTGGTGAGGCCCTCACGTACCCAGCAGCAGCGGGCACCTCAGCTGGACCCGACGATCCCCTGCAGGTCACAGACCAGCCCTGATCCATCCCCACGCAGAGCAGAGCTCTCACCCTCAGCCCAGATCTCAGCCATCAGGAATGGGGGCGCTCAGAGTCACGATGCTCAGTGAGGGATCCGGATTGGAACATCCTGGGGCACCTCAAATATTGTTGAGGTTGGACCCCCACACTGACAGTATGAAGAGGAATCCCTGGTCAGAGGGTACAAAACATGTCTGTACAAAATTCTTCATCGATCTAAGGAAACGCCTGGGTTGAGCAGCACTCACAGGAGGCAAGCCCAGCACAGCCCCCACTTGCTTTTCATTTTCCAGCTTTACTGAGGCCTAACAGACGTATAACAATGGTGTACATATGAGGCATCCAATGTGCTTATTAGACAGATGTATACACTGTGTAATATTCACAACAGAGTGCTTTACACGTCCATCAACTCACAACGACCATTTTATTTCTGTGTGCTAAGAACACTCAAGTGTTACTCTCTCAGCAAATACCAGGTATATAGAAACACAGTATGATTAACGATAGCATGATGAACATTAGATGAACATGTTGCAAATATTTACCTAAATATAATGATTTCATTTCCTTTGGCTATCTAGACAGAGGAAACTCTAAATTGTTTTCCGTAATAGCCATACCATTTACATTCCCACCAATGAAGCACAAGCGTTCCTGTGTGTGTGTGTGTGTGTGTGTGTGTGTGTGTGTGTTTTGAGACAGGTAGGGAGAGGACCGTAGAGGAACCAGCACTGGCCTGGCAGCAAGAAAGTAGCGGCTACACCTTCCCAAGAACGTGCCTCTGTATTACTGATCACTGTGGTGTTGCTGGCCCTCTGATTCTTGGAACAATCTCTCCCTACATTAAAGAACTTAATGGCCCCTCTCAGGTTCTGTCCACAGAAACATACCTAGCAAAATCTCCCTAATGAAAACTTTCTGCCATTTGAAGCTTACTACTCATAACTTCCCTTCTGGACTCAAATGAACTTACAAACTTTCATGGGGTCCAACAGTTTCGATAAAACCCATAATGATCAACTCATCGTGCTAGAAAATACCAGAAAACATGCCAAGCTCTAATAAATCATGCCAGAGGGAAAAATACATATAAGACACCCAAGGAACCAATAGATGCAAAATACCATATTTTCATTCACAGTAACCACAGCCCAAACACTGTCATCTTCAAAAACTACACATAAAAGAAAGATGTTTCCAACGATGCACATCCCCCAGTGAGACCCAAACATCCCCCAAGGCAACACTCCAATTCGCCTTTCGTTATGTTTCACAGTGCAACTGAAAATTTCTTTATCTGCGACACAACATACTAAAAAGTACCAAAGGTAAACAACAAAATGACCTCCATATTAGTCTAAAAACTGCAGAATGATTCCTCTCTTTCTCTCTCCCTTTTTTTCTTCTGGAGCAGGAAGGATTTGTTACTTGCAGCAAGTAAGGAGAACACCAGAGATCTTTCCCAAAGCAGTATCCCTGCACAATGATTCTTGACCTCCCAGAATACCCAAAACAAGTCATTTGCGGAGTGGATGCTGTAGGGCACCCTCTAGCTCCATTGCCTGAGGACAAGGCACCCATCCTCCTGCACCCAAAAATCCCTGTGGGCTCAGCTCAGGCCATGCTTCTAACATCAGAGGAAAATGATTTTCTGTGCTTAAAACCACTGCCTTCATTCCTCCTCATGTATGGCCATGAAATACCAGATTAAACCAATGCATGGAAACCTCAGTCTCAGCAGCTAGGTCCCAGGGAACCTGAGCTAAGACACTATGGCACCTCAAACCATGCAATGCACCCACAACTACCCATAAACCCAATTCCAGGTGCTCCAGCCAGAACTGAGACATTACTTGCCAGGAGTTCCACACACCCCTTGAGCCCAAAAGGGACAAATGCATACACCATTCATTGGGCTCATCTTGAAGCCCACACTTGCTGCCATATCCCTCCTGCAGGCTCTCCTCCAATTTTCCCATTGTTCTCCCTCTCCTCCTTGCACTCATGGGCAAACAGGGCTAAAGGACAAAAGTACCTCTCAGGAAAGCCATCGCAACAGGAATACACACAAGCTGCCACCGAAAGGACACTGGGCATTCAATATGCAGGTCAACAAAGTTGGCCCTCCTGGAAAAACTTACGAGAAAGTAAGAATGTTACGGAGTCCAGTTACAAAGGACATTTGAATGCAGTGTGGGAGACTCAAAGACAGGCGGTCCCCAGATTTCTTGTCCCCAAGACAGATGGTCCCCAAGTTTCTTCTCTCCTGTTCTCCCAGCTCACAGGTAATTAAAAGATACCCTAACTCTTTGAGGGAAGTCTCCTTCATTCCTCCTTAGGTTCTGGACTTTGGCCCACAGTTACCACAGTGAAATCACTACCCCTGACTCGGAGCAGATGAACTGCTGGAAGGCAAAGCTCCTGTCCAAGGAGGCAACTGGTCCCTGGATGTGCACAGCCTGGAACACCTGGGGGCTATAGTGGAGCAGTGACACAGCACACTAAACATGGGGACACCTCAACATTCTACATGAGGACATCAGTTCTGTAGGGATTTTTAGCACTCCCTGCATCTTTTTGCTCTTATTTTGAGTAATTAAGCAGCCATATGGGGTAATAATCAATTAGAGTTGAAATGTCCAGAACAAATGTAGGAACCATCCTCATCACCTACCGTGTTCCCCTGGTCTCCCCTGAGGATTATTCAGCCCAACCCACAGTCCCAGCCACCTAACACATCCCCAGAGGGAGATGCCGCAGCTATCCAGGGAAGAAGAGGAACACTGTGCATCCTTCAATGAACGGAAAAGGAGGAAGACTCCAAATAATCAATGGAGAGCGGCATTTCTGTTGAAGGTGATTGATACAGAGGCAATAAAATGTGACACAGTCAGGAGGAGATGGCGAGCCCTCTCTGAGCCTAGACCTGAAGGGAGACAAAGGGCCTGTGCTATGGTGACTTCAAGGCAAAAGGTAAGAACAGGAACTATGATGTCAGATAGAAATAGTTTTTGTTTGGAAACAGACAAAAGGTGAATGTGCCCAGGGTAGAGTGAACCATGAGAACAGGGTCAGCTCCCAGGATGAGGCTGGAGACACTGGCAGGGCCCTGATGACACAGGCCTGAGCAGCCACAGGGAGGAGTTGGGATTTGTCCTGAGGGCAAATAAGAGCTGGTGCAGGTCTGAGTGCCAGAACTGGCATAAACCCTCCTCGGATTTATACTTAATGCAGAGAAATATTTCTGACTACGGTCACTTCTACTCTGAGCCTGTGGGAAGACAGGAACCCATATACAATTCTAAATAAAACTAGACACTCTCTCCAAAAAGAAGACAAACACAATTTGGCCAACCACTTCAGGGTCAGTGTTACTTTGACTGAGAGTTTCTGGTCTAGTCTCTCATCTCCATGTTATAAGTGGGCGCCCTGAGGCCCAGAAGGGAGACTTTTCTGAGAAAGTCCTGGTTCAGTGAACAGAATCAGGTGTAACTGAATTCTGAAATGAGATCCTGAGGGGTCGGTGGGCAGAGTCTGTCCTTATCGCCTGTCCCATTTAAAACACCATCTTTCAGGTGCCTGATCAAAGGAAACTTCTCTTTCAATGATCAAAGGAAACTTCTCTTTCAATGTCTGATCACACTGTCACCAAACAGGTAATTTTTCTTTCCAGAAAAATCACAGTAAAAGAATTTAAAAATAAACAATTGGAAAAGCATAGTTGCTGGTGCATAAGACATTGCAAGCATTCAGCTTAGAAACAAGATCTGAGCAAACTTCTTCATCATGAATAGAGGAATAAAAGGTGAAAAAGAATATTAGACTAACTGGTTAAACTAGGTTTTGACTGTTAATATAAAAGATCAATGACATATCTACCAAGTACTCATCAAAAGAGTCTAAAATTATTTACTAGTTACCAAAGAACTTTACCAGTATACAAAGATAAAGCAGGGGAAGAACTCAGGTGTCAATTATATCTGAATAAATAAAATGAATTTGTGAATTTTTTTAATCTAAAGATCCTGCTGTCAATGTTTTAAAAAAATTGAGGATTGCGGCTTCCCGGGTGGCGCAGTGGTTAAGAATCCGCCTGCCAATGCAGGGGACACGGGTTCGAGCCCTGGTCTGGGAGGATCCCACATGCCGCGGAGCAACTAAGCCCGTGAGCCACAACTACTGAGCCCACGTGCCACAACTAATGAAGCCCGCGTGCCTTGAGCCTGTGCTCCGCAACGAGGGAAGCCACCGCAATGAGAAGCCCACGCACCGCAACGAAGAGTAGCCCCTGCTTGCCACAACTAGAGAGGGCCCACGCGCAGCAGCGAAGACCCAACGCAGTGAAAAACAAACAAATAAATAAATAACCCCAAAAAATCGAGGATTTATCATATTTAGAAAAGAATCACATGAGTAGAATACATAAGGCCACCAAACTTATTTCACAAGTTAGTAATTATTTGCAGGAAATTAGATATCTAATGCACTAGGATATATGCAAAGTTAAAGGAAAGACATAAATGTAAAGAAACCAGAGAGAAAAAAGTAAGTCCATTACAGAAAAACAAAATTTTTAATGTTTCTTTAAAGAAGCACCATGTAGTGAAAGTCAGTCATTTCCTGCCCCACTAGTCTCTCCCCTGTCCTCTACCCCACACCAGGAAATGGAAGGGGGTGACCCACAACTGCCTGAGTCAACTCACCGCCCCTTGGCTGAACAGGGATTGCAAAGGGAAGTTTTCTTGTCATACAAACAATTACAAAATGCACAAACCTTACAGTTTTGCAATACAAATCCTCACCTGTATAATTTAACCAAGCAACATTTCAATTTATTAGAGTCTAAAGCCAGAAGTCAGTATATCATAACTTAATCGTACAAATCCAATCAACTCACCCCCAACCTGGACCCAGTCTGCCCTCTACCTGCACTACTATGTGTTTCCATTTTATTGTCTATTTCTTTCCCTGTTTCTGTCTCCTTCTTTTTGATCTTATCTACTCCCCTGGTGCTCCTGCTGGCCTATCCATACATTTCTGCCTCTTTCTTCCCCCAACTCTATTCCCTCTCTGCCCGGCCCGTGACACCCCTCCTGTCCCCGTTACTCTCCCTTCCTCCCCACTCTCCGGCACCCCAGGTGGCTGTGCTTCCTTTCTGCTCTCTCTCTTCCTCTGCTCTGCTAGCCACAGAAGTCCTCTGCTTCTCTCCCAGGACCAGGATGCCCTGAAGGCCATGGTTCCACCGTTTATCCTCTCCCAGATTTTCTGTGCAGTGCCTCACCACTGCTGCCCTCCCTACTACCACTGATCCAGGGCCTCTCTCTATGTTGCTCTGCAATCCCTGGAGATCCGGCGTTTTCATTTACTTCTCGATTTTATTCACCTGCTATTTTCAAGGCTTACTTAGTCTCTTTCATTTCACTGTCTCTTTATAAGCTCCTCAGCCATCCTCTACGTCTCCATCCGCTCTCCCTCATTCTTTCCACCCTGTCAGCTTTTCTATTTCTCTCTCAGTCGCTCTGTCTCTGCTCCTCCAGTTCCCCCATCGCCCACATATTTACAGAGACCGAGACGGAATAACATGCCGCCTACCGGAAGAGTCCATTCTCCAGCGGGGTGGAATTTCAGACGGAAGAACACTGGGTGTCACACGGCTGGCCCAGGTCACTCCCCGCCCCCCACGCCGGGTGAGGGGAAGGGCTGACTACGAAGGGGAGGCCGGGGGAGCAAAAGGACCGGCCTGAGGAGACGCGAGGACAGAGGCGCTGGGAGGGAGGGAGGGGGTCTCAGGAGAGGGGCGGGCTCTGCAGAATGCCAGGACCGGGGAGAGAACGTGGGCTGTCCGGGAGCGGGGCGGCCGGCGCTGCCCTCCAGGGGCCGAGAGAGCGAGGCTGGGGGGCGCGAATCCACCTCGCGGAAGAGGACGTTACAGGCGGCGGGAAGGGACGGAGGCAGTAATGGATTTTAAGCAGGAAAATGTCGCGAATGGAGGTGTCTACCTGGACCGAAGGCAGAAAAGCCAACGGCACCGGGACCGGCCTCAGAGCGAATTCAAACCCAAAGGTAAACATGCCTGACCTGTAACGGCGACGTCTGGATTTACTGGGAGCGTAGGGGCGGGTGCTGGGATTTACGGTCCTTGGTGACCCCCCACACTCTGAAGATGGAGAAAGGGGGGCCGCGCGGCACAGATTAACACCAGAAAAGAAAACTTACTCTCAGCAGGGCCACCTTCTCTCCGCGCTGTCCGCTTCCGCTTCCGTTATTAACGGCGCGAGCGCGGAGTTACAAGCAGGGCTTCTGGGGGCGGGGCTTGGGCGGAACGCTAGCGGCGAGGGGCGGGGCGAGGAGGGAGCCCCTGTCAGTCCAGGGAGCGCAGTTAGGCGGGGCAGGAGGCGGGTAGGGGTAGGTTGGCCCCTAAAGCTTGAAACTGCTTGTTTTAATTTACTGTTTGCTACAGTTTTAAGGCAAAAGCTTACCGTTGCTTGGGCCAGTTATCTCGGAAACTAAGATGTTTCCTCCTAACGAGTCGAGAATGGTGTCAATAAAAAGCTGTTTTTGCCAGCAGTTAGCTGGCGTGTCTAAGTGAATTGATAAATGTATATGAGATAAAAGGTTCCAGGTAGGGCTTCCCTGGTGGCTCGGTGGTGAATAATCCGCCTTACAATGCAGGGGACTTGGGTTCAAGCCCTGGTCTGGGTAGATCCCACAGGCCGCAGAGCAACTAAGTCTATGTGCCACAGCTGCTGAGCTTATGCTCTAGAGCTCGCGAGCCACCACTACTGAGCCCATGTGCCACAACTACTGAAGCCCACGTGCCTAGAGCCCGTGCTCCACAACAAGAGAAGCCACAGCAACGAGAAGCCACGCACCTCAATGAAGAGTAGCCGCCGCTCCCCGCAACTAGAGAAAGCCCTTGAGCAGTAACAAAGACCCAACACAGGGCTTCCCTGGTGGCGCAGTGGTTGAGAGTCCGCCTGCCGATGCAGGGGACACGGGTTCGTGCCCCGGTCCGGGAAGATCCCACATGCCGCGGAGCGGCTGGGCCCGTGAGCCATGGCTGCTGAGCCTGCGCGTCCAGAGCCTGTGCTCCGCAATGGGAGAGACCACAACAGTGAGAGGCCCGCATACCGGAAAAAAAAAAAAAAAAAAAAAAGACCCAACGCAGCCATAAATTAATTAATAAAAAAACACACTTGCTACATTCCGCTTCCGGATCACAGAACTCATGGTGCAATATGAATGTTAGAAATACCTGTGAAATACTGTTCAGATGAATTGCCAAGGATATTTTCCACTTGTTTCATGAAAATTAATGTGTGCAGGTATTTATCAGATTATAAATATGAATAATTTTTCAAGAGGCTTTTTGAAAGGCTATTAAAAAAGTTAAGTTATAGTAATAAGCATTATATCTCAACTGTTATAAAATTCCATTTTGTGAAGCCTATATGATACATATGCATGATATATATTTATTTATTGAACTATGGTTGATTTACAATATGACATTCACTGCACGTGCACAGCATAGTGATTCAGAATTTTCATAGATTATAAAACTTATTACAAAATAATCGCTATGATTCCCTGTGCTGTGCAATATATTGTTTAAGATATTGCTTATCTATTTTATACAAAGTATTGATAGCTTGGCTCTCTCAATCCCATACTCTTATCTTGCCCTTCCCCTCCTCCCTCGCTTCACAGGTAACCTAGTTTGTTTCCTCTGTGAGTGTGTCCTGTTTCACTATATACATTCATTTCTTTTCTAGATTCCACATTTAAGTGATATCAATTAGTATTTGTCTTTCTCTGTCAGACATATTTCACTTAGCGTAATATGCTCTAGGTCCACCTATGGTGCTGCAAATGGCAGAATTTCATTCTTCTTTGTGGCTGAGTAATATTTCATTGTAGATACATATACCACTTCTTCTTTAATCCATCTTTTTCCTTTTTTTATGACTTAAAAATTTTTTTTATTTATTTTGGGCTGCGTTCGGTCTTCATTGCTGCTCACGGGCTATCTCTAGTTGCCGCGACCGGGGGCTACTCTTCGTTGCGGTGCATGGGCTTCTCATTGCAGTGGCTTCTCTTGCTGTGGAGCACACGCTCTAGGTGCACGGGCTTCAGTAGTTGTGGCACGTGGGCTCAGTAGTTGTGGCTCGGGATCTCTAGAGCACAGGCTCCGCAGTTGTGGCACACGGGCTTAGCTGCTCTGCGGCATGTGGGATCTTCCCGGACCAGGGATCGAACCCGTGTCCCCTGCATTGGCAGGCGGCTTCTCAACCATTGCACCACCAGGGAAGCCCTAATCCGTCTTTTTCTTGATGGACATTTGGGTTGCTCCCATATACTGGCTACTGTAAATAATGCTGCTATGAACATTGGGATGCACGTATCTTTTCAAATTAGTGCTTCCATCATTTTCAGATATATACCGAGGAGTGGAATTCCTGGATCAAATGGTAGTTCTATTTTTAGTTTCCTGAGGAAGCTCATTTTGTGAGTCATATATTTCATTATTATTTTTAAAAACACACTTTGCCCAATTTATTTCATTTGCATTTCTTCCGTTTTACTTCACTGAAATGCCTGCAGGATGCATAAATCAAGGGGTTGTTTTAAGATTTGTGTGGCATGTACACAGAGAAATGACAGATGCAATGTATGAATTCTATAACCATGAAGACAGAATCTCCTCACATTTCAAGTTTATTGAGAGAACTGGAATAGTACCAGGTAATGAACTAGTCTCACAGTGCATAGCAAGAGACTTATTGCTAATGTGCAGGTGCATCACTGGTATTTTATTTTTATGATTATGAAGATTATTATTTTTTTTTTTAGCCAGGCTGTATGGTATGTCGGATCTTAGTTCCCAAACCAGGAATTGAACCCACGTCCCTTGCATTGGAAGCATGGAGTCTTAACCACTGGACTGCCAGGGAAGTCCCTAACACTGGCATTTTGGAAACATGGTCTGTTAATTTTACCTTAAAAATGTCTCTCTCACAGAAACAGACTCATAGAGATAGAAAATAGACTTGTGGTTGCCAAGGGGGGATCGAGAGGGAGAGGGATGGACTGGGAGTTTGGGGTTAGCAGATGCAAACTATTACATGTAGAATGGGTAAACAAGGTCCTACTGTATAGCCCAGGGAACTAAATTCAATATCCTGTGAGAAACCATAATGGGAAAGAATACTTAAAAAAAGACGGTCTATATGTGTATAACTGAGTCACTTTGCTGTACAGCAGAGATTGACACAACTTTGTAAATCAACTATACTTCAATTAAAAAAATAAGGTATCTCGGGGCTTCCCTGGTGGTGCAGTGGTTGAGAGTCCGCCTGCCGATGCAGGGGACACGGGTTCGTGCCCCGGTCCGCGAAGATCCCACATGCCGTGGAGCGGCTGGGCCCATGAGCCATGGCCGCTGATCCTGCGCGTCCAGAGCCTGTGCTCCGCAACGGGAGAGGCCACAGCAGTGAGAGGGCCGCGTACCGCAAAAGACAAACAAACAAATTATTTATTTATTTTGGCTGCGCCAGATTCTAGTTGCAACAAGCGGGATCTTTAGTTGCAGCACGGGGGCTTCTTAGTTGCGGCATGAGAACTCTTAGTTGAGGCATGCGTGTGGGATCTAGTTCCCTTACCAGGGACTGAACCCAGGCCCCTCCATTGGGAGCGCAGAGTCTTACCCACTGGACCACCAGGGAAGTTCCATTTCTTTTTTTGATCGAAGGATAGCTGATTTACAATATTGTATGAGTTTCAGGTGTTCCACAAAGTGCTTCAGTTATATAAATTTTTTTCAGATTAATCTCCATTGTAGGTTATTCCAAGTTAGTGAATGTAATTTTATATGCCATATGGTAAATCCTTGTTGCTTATCTATTTTATGTATAGTAGCAAGTCAATCCTATTTGAGCCTCTAGTACTTCACGGAAAATATTTAATGTTCCTTCCCCAATATTTAACATCTCAGAGTTATGATATAGCAGTTATATTACTATATAGAGTCTAATATTAAAATATATTTGGAGGTGATATTAGAGTATTTCCCAACTAGAAGCCTTTTGTATATTTCTCACATTCAGGTACGATGGCATGGATAAAAAACATCTCAAAATGGATTCCTTTACCTCTTACCCTGATACTGGAATCAGAATAACTACATCACAATTGGAGAGGGAATTCTCTGGCAGTCCAGAGGTTAGGACTTGGCACTTTCACTGTGAGGGCACCGGTTCAATCCCTGGTCAGGAAACTAAGATCCCACAAGCTGCGGGGCACAGCTAAAAAAAAAAAAAAAAACTGGAGAATGATTTAAGTGTGTTTAGAATCAGACACAGCAGAAAGGAAAGAAATCTGTGAGTTAGAAAACACAAGGGCTCTAAAAACTTTCCTTGACATTCTGAACATCAGAGTAGCCCAGTGTTACATGGAATATTACCCTATCACGATAAAGAAGAAAGTCTTTTGATATAATCTGTCCCCGACACCTTTTCCCTTTACTTTTTTTCTCTATTCAAGAGGGAAATATGAAATTTGAAATTTCATATTATTAAAATTACGGTGGCCATTTAATGCAACTGGCTAATAATCTTCCATGAAAATGAGACAAAACCTAACATTGAAGAGGGTTTTGCCTCTCAGCCTTCTTCGTCATCCCGCAGCCAGGTTGCTATGAAGACACTGAAGACTTTAAGTGCTCACGGCAGTAGAAGGGGCAGAGGACCTATCACACCACCCACGGCACCCTCTGGACTTCCTGTTTGGTGAGAATGATAAATTTCCTTCTTTCAGTTACTACCTGAGAAACAGAATTATTATTTTGTCACGGGTGTGGAATGGAGCACGAATGAAAGAATCCTAAACTTAAAATGTGGATGAAAAATACTTCATAAAGACATCTCTTCACTGATGAGTTAGATCTGTTGAGCCCATGTGGGAGAAAATTTCACGGCGTGTGAATAAATCATACTGTGAGAATTTATGACAAATGTTCAGAACGTTCAGGTGTAATGTTAATGGAGTAAAGAATGTGAGGCCACAAATGCAATACAATTACACGTTTATCTGACCATCTGACTTACTGACCTATGAGCCGATGCATTACACAAACCTTCTTTGCACTGATAAACGCATTCACTCACCTGTCAGTTGGGAATGCTTCCAGTCACTGGATATCTAGCAGGAAACAAAATCAATACACTGCCTTCAAGGAGCATACATTTTCTACAAGGGAAAGTCAGCAATAATT